ACATAAAAATGGAATGTTAGATTCGTATAAATTAAACATTACAAACATTTGTATGTGCCATAAAACAAGCAAACGCGGTAAAATGATTTTTAGTTTCTTTTTCATGCTTCATTAAAGGTAGATTGTGCTGTGTGTGTATGGATGTGGAACATTCTATACATAAGTGTGTGCATAAGTATTGTGGACTCTGAATCGGATGGAAAATATTTACTTGGTTATTTATTTGATGATGATTAGACGCTTGAAGCTTTTTCTGAAGAAATGATGAAGGTTGAGTTTGTTTTTGCGGTTTTGGAACGAAAAGTTTTAATGAAGTAGTTTTTAGGAAGCTTAAATGAAAAGCTTTAAAAGTTTTTATTCTGAGAAGGTTCTTGAACGAATTATAGAGCTGTAATATTGAATTAAATTTGAGTTTTATTTTGTAAGCTTTGTGTTCCTATTTATTTGACTTTATAAGACCAATCATTCCGACTTGAGAGAATTAAGTCCGAATAACGGATCCCGAGCGGGACTCGAACCTGCGGTCTACTATTTTCAGTCGCATGCTTCTATCACTAAGCTATCGTGGGCTAGTCAACTATATGACAAAATCCATAGATAGTTTACACTCTTTTATGTTTCCCTCGCACCAAGATCATTCTGCATTCACTAGCTTTTATAAGGAATCGATTATTCCAGCCGCATTTAACAATTGCATTGTCAAAGAGACGTTGCCTTCATAGATTAGCTTAAGCATAAATTGAAACTATTTAGTTGGATTTGAACCTCTGCCGTGATGACATATCTACCTGTAGGCCTATAAATGAAGGTAAAAGCTTCGTTTAAGTCCACATATAGCTAAGAAAAGGTGCACGATGCTACTGAGTCTCAGCTCGTGATCGCAGTGTTAACATTGCATCATTAAATACCAAAACTTCTTCACGTAGACAGTTCAGCTGTATAAAATCAAAAGCAACCTAAAACCTCAAAAAAACTCCCAAAAAGTCTTCCCAACCTGAACATCTCTAAACTCACCAGCTCATTTCTGCAACTCATTTACTACATTTTTTTTATTTTCTTCCCTCTTCCTTCCTTCCAATAAATATGAAATGTTTGTATTGTTGTGTATATGAAGGAATATCATAATTAATGCTTTGCTCCATCGTTGTTGTGCCATCAACAGCACAGCAGGAAAGCATAGACATGAATTAATAATGAACTCTTTATGCTTACTTTCTATTTATACTCATTTTTGGTAGTTTTTTTTTCTGTTCCTTTATGAATTGTTATTTCATTCTCAATTTTTCAACCATTCGTTTTTTGTTGCTCGACTTCAATGTCCTTTTGAGGTTTTTTTATGATGTTGTTTTGAGAATGATTGGAAGGATTGTAAGCATGAAAGCTTGAATTAATTTGCCATTGGATTGATCAGATTGATCTCATAGGTATGAAATTTAAAGGTATTAATTGACATCTTTTAAAATATTGGAAAAAATTTTCACTTGTTTTTTATAAATTTTTCCTAAATAAAGTCTTTTCAATCCTTTCTATTTTTAACATTTGAGACATTTCTCATCTTGGTCAAGCATAACATTCAAATAAAAGAAAAGTTCATCATCATTTTCACGCTTGAAACAGGTTCTATGGTGTAGTGGTTAGCACTTCAGACTCTGAATCTGACGACCCGAGTTCAAATCTCGGTAGGACCTTCAACTTTTTTAACTGACTTTTTTTTCTTCTTTTTTGCTTAAATTAATAAAATCGCTTCAACTCCAGCTGATAATAGTAGATTCTTAAAACTTGACGTATCAAAATCGCACCTTCACAAAGACCATTCAGGATATGCAGCAAAATATAAGGAATATATGCAAATAAATTCGAAACTGTAGATTAATTAAAATTGTTGTCAACAATGTTGATTGACTTTTGGAGTTAATTAAACCTCACCTTCTGAAGAGGACTTTGCAGTTCCTTGCTTTCCTATATTCCCCATTAAGTACAGAGGAACAAGAAATATATTCTAAATTGCTATTTATATGCACATAACATGGAAAGTAGCTTTTGAAGGAGGAATAAATTTTGCTTATCATCCTCTCCTTCTTAACATTCTCTCTCGAAACATTTTTTTTTTGAAATTGAATCTATTTGACTTGGATATTGTTGTGTGTTGGGAAGTTCCTCTTGAAATATTACACATTACAATGTACTTTTAAGCAACAACAGAAAAAATTTTTTATTTTATTTTTTTGGGTCATGAACAATAGATTCGCAATGGATTTTATGAGAGTTTTCAGTATTCTATGTGGGTAAATAATGGTATGTGTGGATATACCAAAAGAGAATATATTGTGGATGAAACATTTCAATGTGGTATTATGGCTAATGTAGTACATGACTGATCGAAAATTTTGTTTTAGTATTTTCTTGGAAAATTTGTTCAATATTTTGAAGCTTGTTGGTTATTGGTGAAGATTTAAAGCTTTATATTGGAATTTGGGATTATGATGTTGAAGTGGAAGTAATTTTAAAAAAATTGTAAGTATTTTCTTTGGGGAGTTTCCTCAAGTCCGTTACATTTATGTCCATACACTCAAAAATCAACACAATTTTAATTTTATATTCCATATCCAGTATTAAAAGAAGTGCATAAAAATGTGATAGACATAATTAAAAAGTTTCAATTCGACAACACTATATGAGTCTCCATGCAATGCTTAAAACTGCTTTAATTAATTCACTCATTCATGAAAATTAAATTAGATAAGAAGAAAAATGTTTGCAAATTTTCCTCGACGGGATTTCTTACTCATTCATTCGTCTACATAATTATTTCCATGTTAATATGCTTTTTAATGCAGGATTGTAAATTAGAGTTTTGTTTGTTTGTTTCTGTAACTGAATTTTTTATTTTAATTAATTTATTATTTGGATTTTTTGAGATTAAGAAAGTTTTGGTTAAGATTTGGAACTAAGAGTGGCGTTTAAATTGATGAAAGAAGAGCTCTAAAGTTGTGTCATCATCTAGCAAATTTCTGAGGGGCCGTTCACATATGATGTCCAAGGGGGGGGGGGGGGGGTCAACAAGAAAAGAACAATATTAATTTCTGAAAATCCATTACTCTGATTTGAAAAATAATCGTTAATTTCGGACGTCATAAGTGAATGAGCCCTCACATATTTACTTATTTCTTTGTTCGCACAGATTTCTTGCTCATTTGCTTTCGAAATAATTGGCCTGCTTGAGCCACAGTGCTCAAAACCAAAAGATAGTCAGAAGTAGCTAGTTCCCCAATTCATTTGCCTTATTTTAGCATGTCTTGCTGTCTAGCAATCTGGTAGACCATATAAATTCTATATCAATCCTCTCCACCAATACAAACTCTTCGATTTCTGACCTACTTAAGGTCAATAACTCTATCAACTCCTCCTAAAGCTTTTATCCAACAAAAATACTTAACATTCAAAATTCGCTTCCGAAAATCCCCTACCGCTTACTAAAAACCTCATTTAGTGATTCCATAATCGAAGCGTGCATAAATCATCAACCGACATTACAGCATGAAAGACTCTCCACTTCTTCCTTTATAAATTTTTAATATTTACATCAAATCACGATGTTAAGCATGTAATGCATGCAATATCGTAAAAAAAACGTAAGAGAATGAACGAGAATCATGTCAATGTGAGCACCTTGCCTAGTTCCTTCCTTACATGACTTACATCACGTTTGCCTTCACCGTCCAACATGGTGTCAATTTGTCTACTTGAACGAGCTGATATTTTGCATAATTTATGTCACTCAAGAACCGTAAAAAACATGATGATAATGAATTTTTAATGCACACTTTAGCGAGCAATTACTCGGTATGGAGACGGTTACGATTTGCACTATTTTATACATGATGCATGATTATGTGGGATTGGCATGCGGATAAATGAAAAAAAAATTTGTAGCATACTATAGGAATTGAACTAATTGCGAATCATGTATATTTGCAATTTTATGTGAATCTAGGGAATTAATTGAAAGAAGTGAATATTTAATGCACACATTTAATGCTCGTGAAGGATGGAAAATTGAAGCAATTTGCTTGTGCATTTAAATTTTAAGCTGTGAAATTCAATTATCTGGTTCATGGTTGTGCATTTGTGTGAAGGTATGGAATCATGGATTGTGAAAAAATTGTCTGATTGTAGCTGCGCGAGAATTTCGTCTAGGTTGAGTATTGAAGGTTGTTACTGGGATATTTGATATTTTTGAGACAGAAAAGTTAAGACTGAAGATAATTGGAATGACCTGGGAACAGATTGAAGAGCTTCACTGGCTTTTTTAAAAGTTGGAGTACTAAAGTTTGAATATAAGTAAAGTTCGATCTGAACCCCATTCCTTCATCACTGTTCTTCGTCAAGTAGCTTTTGGAGCTTCTGGGCGTCTCTTCCCTTGCGGATTCCACTTAAGAGCGGTGTAACAAACTTGTGTTTCTGTCCGATCAATAACATCATCTCTGGCGTTTTTCTTACTAAGTGTTTGTCCAATTCAGCCTTACTTCCTCATCTGTGAGTCCTTTTCGATTTCTTGTTGACCTGATTTTTGTAGAAGCTTCTCATTTACATTCACACTTCAAAAGGTCAATGCATTAAATTATATGGATTTAACCCACAGAAGTCAAATGAGAAGACTATAGAACTGAAATCTGAAGCTTTGTATTCTTTCCAATGACGTGGGTTTGATTCCTAGTAGAAATAATCTTAATTCTAACATACGTATGCATTGTAGAATAATTCGCACCAGTTTCAACCTATAGAAGCATACATACATCAGTAAAGCTTCATTTAAAGCCTCAAACCTGTCACAAACTCTTATCACACGCCATTGACTTAAATTAATTTTCATGATAAAATGTTGAAATTTAATGAACAATTAAATCTTTTGATCACCCAATTGCAAACATTTTTGATAAAGTCTTCGATTAACTGACCTAGTGACACAAATAATTATTAACTGCTTACTTCTATAAATTGACGAATCCTTTGAATCAAAATTTCAGTAATCAAACACGTCTCAAAAAGAATTTTAATTCAAAATGTTCAAAAAAATATTCATCCTTACTTCGTGGCTTCTTTTAGCTAATTCAGAACCTATAAAAGAGATATTGGAAGATGAACCGATTGGATGTCAGGCACAAGTTACAAATGGATTTGATATTGCATTTGTAAAAGTTGGAACCTACAGTAAGTGATTTAAACTCATCATTATTAAATGTTACTTAAAATTACTTACAAACTTAATAGGAGGATACACCAACGAAGGCAAAGAATACCAAAAGAGCTATTTCTTCCCCAAATACTTCAGGAATGGAATGGCTGAAGCTAAGGCAATCTGCAAAGCATACAATCTAGAATTAGCAACATTCGAAACTATAACAGAAACTTTAATGGTCCTTAACATGTGTGAAAATAACGAATACATTAAATCTATAGCAGATCCAAAGAACTTTTGGATTGTTATTGATGCAATGACCACAACACCAAAATCAGCTACTGAATGGTTCTGGACGAATTCTGGAAGGAAAATATCGTTCACAGTTCCATGGGCACCAAATCAGCCAGATTTCTTTGAGAATCATGAATATTGTCTGGCGATTGGAAAAGATCAATCAACTCCAAACTATAGATTTAATGATATGCCTTGCTTGAATATCAATCGACCATTCTTGTGTCAAAATTTTGATTATATGATCACATTGTAGATTTAAAATAAAATATGGAAATAATCTAGTATCTATTGTATGTATTTACTGCTTCATATCAAACCAAAATGTTTTTGCTCTCAAAGTTAATAATTTCAAATTAAGCTCCTTTCTACCATAGCTTTCAAAACATTTATAAAGTTGCCTACATCTTATCATTTTATTAAGCTTGACTGGAATCAATTCCACTGAAAAGCTGCAATTATTTTCAAATGTCAATAACCTCTTTTTCTTGGTATCAACCTTATCTTTTGTTTACATTTTTATCACTTTAAATTGCTTTAAATGCTCATGCAATTCTTTATCTTGACCTATAAATTTTAATCAGAGATTTGCAAACATTCAGTCGTTGAATATCATTGCGGAATATAAATCTCTTCAGTAAAATCACTCAAATATTTAAAAGATTCAGACACATTGTTTGGAATAAAAATGATTAAAATATTCATAATTATTTCTATAACGTAATTGAAATTAACATTATTTTCAAACTTCAGGAGGTTTCACAAGCAATGGATCGGAAAATCAAAACTCGTACTTTTTTACTAGACATTTTAAATCATCTTGGACAGAAGCTAGATCTTTCTGCAATTCATATGGTTTAGAATTTTTATCGCTTGAAACCTTAGAAGAAGCCCGAACAGTTCTTAGTTTCGCTGATAACAATAACATCATTAGAACTCTAGCAAGCATTTGGCTATACATTGATGGCGTCAGCTTGACAGTAAATTCATCAACAGATTGGTTTTGGAGCACCGAATAATTCCCTTAACAACGAGAACAGCCTTACATTTGGCAAAGGAAGTATTAATGAACAATTTGGGTTTGATGATGCTAAGTGTGATAGTACTTTTATCGCATGTCAAAGGATTGACTTTTTCTTACCTTAGAAACCAAATCAAGTTGAAATTTTTTTTTATTTTTCTTTAATTTGTATCGAAAGAAAAAGAATTGACCCAATAAAAATATTTTTGATAACAAAATTCAGATCTGGCATTGACACAAAAATTAATTTAAGAATCCGTTTCCAAATAAAGATAAATCACATATCCTCATTAATTTGCAATCAATCACAACAGTTTACAAAATCTAATCTTTACAATATTGACCCAAATATCCTGAATTAAGATACCACAACCTATATAAACTCGCAAAAGTCAACAATTTACAATCAAAATTAACGAGTTACTTCGAGAGAATATTCAATTTAAAATAATTAACAAAAATGTTTAAGTTTATTTTAATTCTTCTAGTTCAAGTTGCATTGCTGAATTCTAGCACAATAGAAGATGAAACAGCGGCTTCATATGCAGATCCGGTAACAGTAGAAAATGTAGCATTTGTAAAGATTGGAACTTATAGTAAGTTTTTGATTATTTTTCTGATTTGATAAATTCATCCTAAGGGTGTGGAACTGAAGAATTACATTTTGATCATTTTTGATCATTTTAATCATTTCATCAGTACCACCCCCTTGGTTAAGATTCAGTACACATTTAAATCGCCGATTCTCAACTAATTTAGGAACAAAAAATAAATTAAAACCTTTTAACTCTTCCAGGAGGATTCACAGATGATGGCTCAGAATATCAAAAGACATATTTCCTTTCAAGATATTCAAGACCACCATGGGCAGAATCAAGGTCATTTTGCAAGTCCTACAACATGGAGTTCTTATCAGTAGAGACACTTACAGAAGCTCGAGCTTATCTCTCAATGCTTGACAATGATAGCTACTTAAGAAGCTTTGGTGGTGCTTATATTTACGTAGATGGGATTGGTTTAACGTCAAAATCCCCTACAGATTGGTATTGGTCAAATACAGGAAGACGAATTTCATTTCCAATTCCATGGCGTGCTGGTCAACCAAATAATGGTGGTGGGAATGAATATTGTCTGACAATTTATAGGCCTAATATTGGTGAAAGATTTGGATTTGATGATGCTACATGCATGGGGAGCGCTTTTGTTGGATGCTACAGAGTTGATTTTTTGCTGCCGTAGGTTTTCGAATAGTAAATAAAATAGATTAAAAAATAAATTGCAATTTCGTTTTAATCAATTTCAATTTTATAGTTAAGACTTTCAGATTGATAGCTTGATTGTGATCTGGCTTTCGTCATCGCATGTCATAAGAATATATTTTTAACGTTTTTAACTATATTTGTACGTTTTTTGCTTTGGGGACGTTTATCATTAAAAAAAAGATATTGTTCTATGAAATCAATGATCTTTGTATTTCACATGATTTATTAACTTCACATCTTATCTTTTATAATCACTTTCTGATTTATTGCTCATTTCAAACCTATTGAATTATCAAATTGATAAAAATTCGTATATAAATATTGAATTTCTACTTCAATTTCATCAGTTTACAAACAAATTTATTCAATTATTAACTAATCGTATTAACGACAAAGAAAATGTTGGGAAACAAATTTTTAATACAATTTATTCTCGTTATTTGGTGTGGTTTTATCAATACACAAGATTTAGAACAACCAACACTTCATGCTAATCCAGTGATAGTAAGCGACACAGTATTTGCAAAACTTGGAACTTATAGTAATTATTTAAAGTTCAAATAAAGTTCAGGAATTAGAATTTTACTTATTTTCAGGAGGATTCACTGACGATGGTACAGAATATCAAAAGACATACTTTTTCACTAGACATTTTAAAGGGGATTGGACCAACTCAAGGTACTTTTGCAAATCATATGATTTGGAACTTGTAACAATGGAAACTCTGGAAGAAGCTCGTGCAGTTCTTACAATGGCTGACAACAATAGCATCTTAAGGTCCTATACTAGTGTCTGGCTTAACATTGATGCCGTTACTTTGACAATAAAAAGTCTAACAGAATGGTTTTGGACAAAGTCAGGAAAGAAAATATCATATCCAATACCTTGGCGACCTGATGCACCAAACAATCATGTTGGAAATGAAAATTGTTTGACTTTTGGAAGATATTTGACATCAGGAAAATTTGGATTTGATGACGCTAGATGCGAGAATGGTGGCAATCCAATACCATGTCAAAGAATTGATTTGTTAATACCAAAATAAATAGAAACTAAAAGTTTTGATTAAAAAATTTTATTAATTGATTCATTTTAAATTGTTTTCAAAACAAAATATCACATTGATCCATTTAATGCCATTTTTTATACAGTTACTTATCTTAAAATTAGCACGTTTGAGTTGATAATTAGTTCTCAAGAAAAGATACAAAGTGATTTTTTGTCTCTAAACCTTTGTTTTTAATCAATATTATTTTCAAACAATATTTTTGACAATCCTTATGATTAGATTACCAACACTAGATTATCTTTTATAGTGAAGAATATCGATGAAAGCAAAAGATAATAAGTCTATGAAAAGTCAACATATTTTACATTCTTTATCATTTGAAATTAAAATTTTTACTAGAATTCAGCAAAATGTCTTCAAAATCGTTTATTTTTTATTATGGAATAATTTTGCAATTGTTTATAGTCATTTGCAACAGTCAAAATATTCCACAAAATAATCAACTCAAATCTTCGAGAGTTTATCAAGTTATTGTGAATGATGTGGTGTTTCATAAATTAGGATCATATAGTAAGTTTTTGGTATCTCAAATAAAAGAAATTAAAATAATATTTTAGTGTTTTTTTTTTCATATTTATTTATCTGCAACTCCAAGGAGGCTTCACTGAAGAAGGTTCAGAATATCAAAAGTCATATTTCTTTACTAGATATTCTTCATCTCCTTGGGCCGAAGCAAGATCATTCTGCAATTCATATGGTTTCGAATTTCTGTCAATGGATACCTTGGAAGAAGCTAGAGCTGTTCTTACATTAGCTGATAACCACAGCTTTTTAAGAGCATTACAATATACTTGGCTTTATGTGGATGGTGTTGCGCTGACTATAAAATCTCCAACAGATTGGTATTGGACTAAAACAGGAAAGAAAATCTCATATTCAATACCTTGGCGAGTAGGAACTCCAAATAATGATGGCGGTAGTGAATATTGCCTTACAATCGGTAGATATTTTACGAATGAAAAATTTGGATTTGATGATACGTTGTGCGACGGTAGAACTCGCATCACATGCCAAAGAATTGAATTTTTCATACCTTAGTTAAGATTTAAGCTATTTCTTCAAAAACTGTGATTTTAAAATTATTAGTCATTATTTAAAAATAAAGCTTTAAAATTCTTTAGAAATATTTGTGCATTTTTTGATAAATTAACTCTCATATTTAATGCTCACTTTCAGAGATCGTCTAAAGACAGCTCTATCCTTCGAGACCTTCTGCCAGTTCGGGATATTAAGGACTCTAGCGTGCTTCTGTTGCATAGGCTGGACTGAACTGTTCTGATAATTTTATCAGAATTCTGTTATTTATCGGAATTGTTCTGTTAATATTATCAGAATTCCGATAAATATCGAAAAAGTTCTGCTAAAAAGTTCAGATAATAAAATTGCGATTCGCAATTATTTTTCAGAACTGTTCTGTTATTTATCAGAATTCTGTTAATTTTTTTTCATATTTAATAAATTATTTTAAATAATAATAAAAAGAAGTTAAATCATAAGTCTAAACGTCATTTTCAAATATAACTTCCTGTATAACTCAAAAAAAAAAACACTTGATGTTTATAAGTCCTGACACAAACTGGAGTTGGACTTAAAAACCTCACATGTAGATCACTATTCCGGAAATTTATAAATATTTATAAATAAACTCACAGTGTAATTATGAGTAGTCTCATTTTTTATCTACTTGGAAAAATTTGAAAAATAAAAACTCGCTACAATTTTTGAACAAAAATAAACATTATTTTTAAGTCACTGCATAATTTAGATATTTCAACTGATTATGATCTTAACGTTTTATAACTTTTGAAAATTTATCGTGTGTTACGAAAAAATACTCTAAACTGATGTTTTGCAACAAAGTGTTCTTGCAGGAGAGATTGACGCTTTTTTCTTTAATTTCTCTTAATTAAGTGACTTTTTTTAACACCTGATAAAAGAATGTGGTAGAAAATTAAATTTGAAATGCTATAAAACAAGTCTGGTGCTGTCTAGATTTATAATTAAGAAAATTTTTGCTTTTTTTGAAAATAAATTTCGATTGCAGGAGAGATTGACGCCAGAAAAATCAAAATATCTCTTTAATTAATGATTTATTTCATGCCAAAGTTATCGAAAGTTGTACATTTGTCGGAAATACGCATGTTTTGGTATTAAAATATCACTTAAATAGCCAAATAGAAGAGAAATTTGAGAAAAACAAAAATTTGGAGCTTTTTATTGTCCGCGGGTTTGCCCTATATTAAAAAATTTTAACAATTTTATGACCCAAATACTTAAACCTTGACCCAAATAGTAAATATTCTAAGAAATGAAAATCAGTTGTTTGAACAAATAAATTAGAAAATCCTAGATTTCCTTTAAAAGCTAAAACGTAATAAGTGAACGACCCCTTATCTGATAAAAGATTTTAGATCCTGAAGTTGTTTTCTCCCGTTTTTTATGCTGCTAGTTTGAACTCTAGTGCTTGGAATGAAATCTTAGATTAATAATGTCTTCAGAAGTTTAGCCAGAAATTTTTCGAAAAAAAAGGGTTTTGCCCCAAAAACCCGCGTTGACTACGCCACTGAATGTCTTTAACAAAGTGCTGAAGGTTAGTGTTTAAGAATGGTGTTCATTATGTAATTATTAAAAAGGTCAAAAATCTACGCGTAGCTTTCATGTAAAGGTGATGATCAGCACCTGTCTTGAAAAAAAGTGAAACCTAGCGTAGGCAAGTTGAAATTGCATGACAATTGCCTTGGTCATGGGCAAGACTATGCTTGAAGGCACCTTTTTTATCAACACTGGCTTTTATGACCTTTGATAATAATATAATAAAAGTGAAGATAATTAACAGTAGAATTCCGATATTATCAGAACTGTTCTGATATTACGATGCTGAATATTCTGATGTTTTTATCTGAACAGTTCTGTAAAAAAAAATTTTAAAAATGCGAATCGCAAAAATAAAATAACAGAAGAGTTCTGTAAAATATTCTGTTAATTTAACAGAACTTATCGGAATAGTTCTGAAAAATTCTGTTAAATTAACAGAACAAATCCAAAAAAATTATCAGAATAGTTCTGTTAAATTTAACAGAACAGTTCAGTCCAGCCTATGCAACACACCCCTCTAGCGTCCTCATCAACACATTCAATCCTGGTTTTCTTTGGTCTTCCTCTAGATCTCTTGCCATCTATAAAGTCTGCAACAGTCAATAAATACTTAGCATACAATTTCAATTTAAAATTGCCCAATGATGCAACAATTTTTTTTAAAAAGAACTCTTAAGCAATCTCCTGAACAACAGTTAACTGATCTAGACAATGAGACACTGTCAAGATACTTTATCATTTACGAATAATCGACACCAAAAGATAAGGATTTGAACCTTAATATCTATAAATGTACACTTTTTGAGGCATGAAAAGAGTTTCAATATAAATCTTCACAAATTTTCTCTAATGTTCAAAGCAGTGATGGTCAATCCATGTGTCGCGGCACGCTAGTGTTATACTTTTGGAAAAAAATTCGATAAATCCCACAAACCTTTTTACATGTGCGGTTTCGGTTATGGCATAACCGATGCAATGGACCTCTAACATTACAACATTTTTGTCAAACGATTAAAAATCAATTAATTAATAAAAATTAAGCTGAATGTCAAAATAGCTTGATAACTAGCACTATATAAACTCACGACTTTCGCATTCCCAATCACATTAAAATAAGTTTATTAGAAGTTATAAATGTTAAAAGTTATTGGAAAATGCTTGATCTGCATTAGTTTATTAAATCTTAATGCACTTGCAAAGCCAACGCTTACAGAACCAGAAGTTCTGACAGACATTATAGATGATGTTACATTCTATAAATTAGGAACTTACAGTAAGTTTTCAGCACGCAAGAATCTCTAAAGATTAAAGTACTAATCTTTCAAACTCAACAGGAGGATTCACAAATGATGGAGCTGAATACCAAAAAACTTACTTTTTTCCAAGATATTCTGAAGCATATTGGGCTGATTCTAAAGCGATTTGTAAAGTCTATGATTTCGAACTAGCAACATTGGAGAGTCTTCAAGAAGCTAATGCATTATTAACAATGGTTGAAAATCACGACAGTATTAAACCTCTAGCTGTTATTTGGCTTTGGATTGACGGTATCTCAATGCTGCCAAAAACAACAACAAGTTGGTATTGGGGTAAAACAGGAAGAAAAATTTCATTCCCTATTCCGTGGTTAGCTGGTTTTCCAAGCAATACCGATCAACTATGTTTATCAGTCGGTAAATCATCACAAAACCAGAAATTCGGATTTACTAATGGCTATTGTTCTGGCAAAGGTTATTTACGGTTTATTTGTCAACGAACAGAATTTTACATCCCATAAGTGGTTTTATATTAAGTTTTATACGTAGCACACAGTTATTTTAATCACTCTTATTACTTTTGATATTTAATTACGAAGAATATTGTTATCGAAAAGTTTATGCAGCTTGAATGTATTATTGCTAATCTGATAAGATTATTCTGCCTATAAAAGCTTTGAAATTTTCATTTAAAAATTACTTTAAAATAAGAAATTAAAAAATGTTAAAAGCAATTTTGATTTTTTCAATCTACAACTTTTTGGTTTATAGCATACCTTGGTCTAAAAGTGCTGATTCAGGAGTTATAAATGATGTTGTATTTTATAAGTTAGGAACATATAGTAAGTCATTAGTGTCTTAGTTCATTATTAAAGTCTAATTTATCTATTTTTCCACAGGAGGGTTCACTGACGAAGGGTCCGAATATCAAAAGTCATATTTTTTCACTAGATATTCTCTTGGAACTTGGTCTGATGCGAGATCATTTTGTAGTTCATATGATTTAGAATTCATAACATTAGAAACTTTAGATGAAGCAAGAGCTTTTCTTACAATGGCTGATAATAATAGTTTCTTAAGATCACGTTCAACTTATTGGATTTACATCGATGCCGTCACCCATACAATAAAATCTCGAACAGACTGGTATTGGACAAATTCAGGGAAGAAAATTTCATATGCAATGCCTTGGCGTCCTGCAGCGCCTAATAATGACTACAATGATGAATGCTGTTTATCATTTGGCAAAGGAAGTTTAAATGAAAATTTTGGATTTGACGACGTAATGTGTAATTCTGGTACACCTTTCGCATGCCAAAGGATTGAGCTTTTAATACCTTAACTCCAACAGGAAAACACTTTTGATAACAAATGTTATCAGTTATTTCGCAATTCCTTGTTTACAAACAAAATTGACCTTGATCCATTTATCAAAACTTTTGATTACACTTGCCAAAAATGTTTGATCAAATTTGACTTTAAGTTTTGGAATTTTATCAACTTACACTAAAAAGTATTTAGTAACATTGTGATTGTTTGTTCTTTCAACCGCCTGGTCCAACGTACAATTCTTCAGAAAGATTATTTAATTTTCAGATAAGCTGATTCCGGTTAAAAAATTACTTGAAGTCCAAAAGTGTTTTGGTATTAAAATTTTAGACTTTCTTCATACAAAGATATTTTTTTTTTTCAAGAAATTTTTAATCAGCTGATTAATTTTGTTTTTATCAACTGCAAAGACGTAAATTTTTCAGAAAAGCATTTTTTCCTAATCAAACTTTGTTTGGAGAATTAAGAAACAATGTAAGTGGTCCAAAGCTTGTTACCTTTGTGGCCGTTCACTTATAACGTAACGTTTTGAGGGAGGAGTGGGAGGTGGGGTCTAAAAATCATGTACTGGTCGTTCATTAAGATTCAAAGAACCCTGTCATTGAATTATGATAATTCTAGATATGTCTTAAAGCAATATCTTCAACGAACCTTTTTTTTGTTATCAAAATCTTTTATCGCATAGTCAAATCCTGACTGACAACTATTGATAGTGATATCTTGATGATCTCTATAAATACAAATTTTATATAGCAATTTTTTTCAGTTCACAAAAACATACTCGAATATTAACCAAAGAAATGTGTAAACATAGCTTTTTACTAAAATTTATATCCATAATTTGGATCAGTTCTGTCATTTCGCAAGGATTACAATAACCATGTCCATCTGCTGATCCGGTGATTGTGAATGATGTTGCGTTCATAAAACTTGGAACTTATAGTAAATAAATTTTGTATATTTTGAATCAGAGCTAAATATAAAGTTCATATTTATTTTTAAGGAGGATTCGCAGACGATGGATCAGAATACCAAAAATCATATTTTATATCAAGATACTCAAAAACACCTTGGGCTGAATCTAAAGCTATTTGCAGAGCTTTTGATTTAGAATTCGCAACATTAGAGTCTAATAGTGAACTTCAATCATTTCTTAATATTATAGACAACAATAGTTATCTTCGAACTATAAGTGATACTTTTTTCTGGATCGATGGAATCTCTTTGACTCCTAAATCAAAAACTGATTGGTATTGGACAAAATCCGGAAAGAAGCTTACATTTTCTCTTCCATGGGCTTTAAATCAGCCGGATTTTCTAAGAGTTGATGAATTTTGTTTGGCTTTAGGGAAGTCCAGTAACCAAAAATTTGGATTTCATGATGGCATATGCTCTACATCTATATCATTTGTGTGTCAGAGAATTGAATTGTATGTGCCATAAATTTTAATCTTTTTTTGTTAACCATATTTTCAAATGCTTAATAAGTGGCACTATATAAACTCACCAGTTTCTGCGATATTTAATCAGTTTTTAAAAGAAAATAAATAAAGAAATGTTAAAATTATTGCAAGTTGTTTATTTTGCATTATTATACTAAATATTCAAGTATTTGCTCAAGAAACTTCATTAGATCTAGAGAGTCAATTAGATATTGTAGAGGATGTCACATTCTATAAACTAGGAACTTACAGTAAGAAATCTATAATAATCATTCGAAAATAAAAACAGGAATTGAACTACAATTATTATTTATCAAAATTCAACAGGAGGATTTACAAATAATGGAGCTGAATACCAAAAAACCTATCTTTTTCCAAGATATTCTGAAGCACACTGGTCTGAATCTAGCTCTATTTGTAAAGTTTATGATTATGAATTGGCAACTTTTGAAACACTGGAAGAAGCTAAAGCAGTATTAACGATGTCTGATAATCACAGTCATTTAAAAACTAAGACGGTGTTTTGGCTTTGGATAGATGGAATTACATTACTACCAAAAACCGCAACAAGTTGGTATTGGGGTAAAACAGGGAAAAAAATATCATTTACTATTCCATGGTTAAGCGGTTATCCATCAAACACCGAATACTTATGTTTAGCTATTGGAAAAAGATCACAATTTGAGTCATTCGCATTTGCCCATGGTCAATGTTCTGCTAATACTCATATACCTTTTATTTGTCAACGGATTGAGTTTTTTATTCCTTAATTGAGTCAATAAATAAATTTAAAATGAAAATTTTTAACATTTGAGACGATTTTGTTTTCTAATCAACAAATAGCTTATTTTCATTGCCTTAACACTCGGATTAAATCTCAAAAATCCACAAGATTTTGTAGTAGCTACACCTTGCTCACTTTAGATTAATTTTAAAGCTGAATTGATAATGACATTTGCAATTGTCTTAACAGATAGCTGTCAGTGTATTTTGGCTTATCTGGAGTGATAATTCTCCTTATAATAAGCTCGTACATTTAATAAAAGCAATTAAATGAATTGAAAATGTTAAAAATAATTTTGGTTCTTTCAATTCATACTCTTTTGGTTCATAGCATTCCTTTGTCTAAAATTGCTGATCCAATTATTGTGAACGATGTTGTTTTCCATAAATTAGGAACATTCAGTAAGTGATTTTACCTTGTTAATTGAATGGATTATTACATTCTCTTATTAAAATCCATACAGGAGGCTTCACGAATGGAACTTCAGAATTTCAAAAGACATATTTATTTTCTAAATATTCTATGTCTCCTTGGGCGGAAGCAAGATCATTTTGTAGTTCATATGGCTTAGAGTTTCTATCAATGGATACTTTAGAAGAAGCCTTAGCTGTCCTCACAATGGCTGATGATAACAGCGTTTTACAGACACATGCACAAGCTTGGATTTACATCGATAGTGTCACTCAGACAATTAAATCTCCAACAGATTGGTATTGGACTAAAACAGGAAAGAAAATTTCATATTCAATACCATGGCGAGCAGGAACACCAGACAATCATCTTGGAAGCGAGAATTGCCTTTCAATCGGTCGATATTATGCAAATGAAAAGTTTGGATTTGATGATGCTATGTGTGACAGTAAAACTCTTATTGCTTGTCAAAGAATTGAATTTTTATAAAATTATGAATAAAATAATTGAATTTAGTCTCAAATCCTTGTTCCATTGTTCACATGCACTTAAACTTATAATAAATTATTGCTGATAGCTGATACTTTTTACTTTAATGACTCAAATTGGTGACTATTTTCCGTTCAAAGATAAAAATTTCAATTGAAATTTATAATCAGCTTCTGAAACGATTAATTTTGTTATTGTCAATTGGAAAGTCGCGAATTTTTCAGAAAAGCATTTATTCCTTATCGACTTAAGCTTTGTTTTGAGAATTAAGCAACTTGAACTTTGCAAAAGTAATTGGAAAATGTTATCAAAATTGCTTAACTTAAGGCGTTGCATTTATTTAAGCTGATTTTGTTAATCTATTTTGAGCTTAAAAGTAGTCTTGGACATATTTATCTCATATTTCGATCATCCTTAATGCCAAAAATAAGATAGTGTCATCTATAAATATGAAGCTTCTTTTGTAATTTTATCCAGTTCACAAAACAATCCATACATTGATTAACATATTTTTATTTTTTCAAAAAATGTTGAAAACAATTTCGAGTTCTTCATTGTTCCTTATTTTAATCTGCATAGCATCAAGCCAACAAAGTCATTGTAGATGACGTTGCATTTTATAAACTAGGAACTTACAGTGAGTTTTCTAAGCATTCATTACTAAGAGTCTCCAATTCCCAAAACCCTTATAATACAATTCAACAGGAGGGTTTACTGATGACGGAGCTGAATATCAAAAAACCTTCTTTTTCTCACGATATTCTGAATCATTTTGGGCTGAGTCAAAAGCAATTTGTAATGCATTTAAGATGGAGCTAGCTTCGATGGAGACACTTGCAGAAGCGAATGCATTACTAACGATGGCAGATAATCACAGCTTTTTAAGGGCAGTAAATGATATTATAATTTGGATTGACGGCATTGCTTTGTCACCAATTTCCACTACAGATTGGTATTGGTCGAATTCAGGAGAAAAAATTAATTTTCCCATTGCTTGGGTTATTGGTCAACCAAGTAGCACTGATCAACGTTGTTTAAGTATTCATAAAGAAGGTATCAATCAAAAATTTGGATTTAATGATTTCCACTGGTCTGATAGTAGATATATTAGACGTTTTATTTGTCAACGGATAGAACTTTACATTCCTAGAGAAAATGATTGATTTTATCAGATTTTATAAGTTATAAATTTAAAATTTTACTTTATAATAAAACCACTTTTGAAAACAAAGCTATTATTTGAATCACCGAATAAAAATGAGTCTTAAATCTGATTCTTGAATCTCATTTGTAAGATTCAATAATATTCCATTTAATCATACTTAATTAACATGATACGACCTTATCAAATAACATTAAGTTTAAGTAAACACAAAAAAAAGTTATCATTTTTCTACAAAATCGATAAATGTACTTAAAACTTAATACTGCATATGATATGCTGAACCTATAAATTGCCGACATTTTTCAATGTAAATTATCAGTCAATAGCAAACCTTATAGAAGACAATACAACAAAATGCTCAAAAATATTTTTATTCTTGCTTCAGTGCTCCTTTTAACTAGATCTGATCCTATCGGTGAAATAGTTTTAGATGAACAGCCAATAACATGTCAAGCTCAAGTCACGTATGGATATGATGTCGCATTTGAACGAATTGGAACTTTCAGTAAATTGAATTTTTTAATTCTTTAAGATTTTATATAAATTTAAATCTAAATCAATTAGGAGGAAACACAAACGAAGGCAAAGAATTTCAAAAAACCTACTTCTTCCCAAAATACTTCAGAAATGGAATGGCTGAAGCCAAATCAATCTGCAAAGCCTACAACTTAGATTTAGTGACATTTGAGACAATAACAGAGGCACTTATGGTCATGAATATGTGTGAAAATAATGCATTTATTCAGTCTGTAACGACTTCAGCAAGATTTTGGGTCTATGTCGATGGAATGACAACATCAGCTCCATCATCAACAGAATGGTTCTGGACAAATACTGGAAAGAAAGTTGGATTTGTTATTCCGTGGGCTCCAAATCAACCTGACTTTTATAATAGCGATGAATATTGCCTTACAATTGGAAAAGATCTGACAACACCAAGTTATAGATTTGGGGATATGACTTGTATTGATAGAACGAGTCCTTTCTTGTGCTCAAGACTTGATTATATGCTTTAAGTTTGAGTTTATTATTGATGTAATTTTATTAATGTTTAACTATTTTAAATGAATAAAATTTAATTATTTGAAATTAAAATATTTTTGATAAGATAATTACTTAGAAGTCGATTTGAAAGTTATAATTTTCAGATCTTAGCTTAAAACATACATGGAATTGATAAACATGTACAAGAGCTTTACGAGATTAATGAGCACTTAAAAGGGTAAAATATGGAGAGGGCCCAGCCTCTTTGAGCTGGAGTCATTGCGATTCAAATTAGAACAGAATTTATTGTATCACAATCTTTAGACTTACAGTTTATAGTGGAATCCGAACCACTTGCAAGGTCTGCACATTGCAAAGACATGAGTACGTCTAAAGACCTGATATACCCTGTAATGAACCTAGTCACAATTTGTGTGCGCAAGATGCTGTTATGAAATCATCCCGATGCTGAAAATGGAAAAAAGAGCTTCAAAAACTTGACTTGCCCTAGAATTGAACCTAGAACCTTTGAAACGTAAGACCAACCTCTTCCACTCAGGCCTGATGCCGTTTCATCGTTTAACATGTCATGATTTGCCAAAGAAGTGTTGGACAACCTTTTTTCATGCCATGACAGTAGCCGCACACAGCATATGTTTCATTGGATTTTTGTAATTTTTTCACGGCACAGCTAGTGTTTACAGTGTTTTCAATACATTTGATTTGACTTTTCCTGTTCAGGAATAAATAATCACTAAGTTGGTGTATATTATCAATAACTTTAATCATCATTTTAATCATGAAGTTTACACTGATTAAAATTTAATTAATATAGAACTTGTCTTTCCAGAATTATTAATTAAAAGCAAACCAGAGCATACCTAAGCGATAATGTTCTTATTTGCTGATTTATTTGCACAAAAATATTATAATTGCCAAATTATTAACCATTTCAATCAACTGGAATTTGACATATTCCAATAAAAGCCTCATGTGGCTCTGCATAGCAATCAACAATCATAATGTCATGTTTTGTATCAAATAGGATAAATGCTTAACCGTGTTCTTTTGTGACACAATTTTGGTAGTCAGAAAACCAACTTATCAATGCTTGAAATGTCTGCTGATAATAGTTAAGCTTTTCTTTTGTGCATATATAGTTCAATGTCAACAAAAACAATTTTAGTCCATGTCTTAAATGATTGAGTGACCTGTTTTTCGCTAGAAAAATGGCACACATTTTGAAAACAATGCACGCTTATCAGCATCTGCATTGACTTAAAAATGTAAACAACTTAAGCACATGTTGAGAAATTCAGGAGAAAATGTTATCAGATATTATGGAATTCACTGGAAGTTTAACAATCTTATCGAATGTAATAATTTGAAAACAAAGAAAATCTGAATTTAAAATTTCTTGAGAAATTTTTTATTTTTATCTTAATTGATTTGAGACTTAAAAAAGTACAGATTGGTTTAATTAATTTCGCTTTCCTCCTTTCTAGGAATATAAATTTCATTCCTTTGACAAATAATGTTACGTGGATTTGTAGAACAATCGATGTCATTGAATCTAAAATTCGATGTAATAGTTGACCTACTAATACATAAGCATAAATGATCTGCACCACTTGGAGCACCAGGATACCATTCCATTGGAAATGAAACTTTCTTCCCAGTCTTCGTCCAATACCAATCTGTTGTTGACTTTTCAGTCAAAGTAATTGCATCTAAGTATAGCCAAACATTTGTCATCCTTCTCAAAATACTATTGTTATCAGCCATTGTTAGAACTGCACGAGCTTCAGCAAGAGTCTCAAAAGTTGGCATTTCTAAATCAAATGCCCTACAAATTGCCTTTGCCTCAGCCCAAAATGATTTGGAATATCTCGATAGGAAATAAGATTTTTGATATTCAGCTCCAACGTCTGTGAATCCTCCTAGAATATTATAATAATAAGTTTAGAACTATCATGTATGTTGAATTAAATAATCAAACTTACTATAGGTTCCTAATTTAACAAATGCTACATCATCGACAACAGTCTGTTTCTCTGTAGCTGATTGAACAACAAATGCACTGGAGCTTGCAAAGATAGTGCTTATAAAAAGAATTTTAATTGCTTTAAACATTTTAAATTGTGATTCTTTGTTTGGTTCTATAAAGAAAACTGATTAGTCAAAGAAAATCATTTGGTTTATAAAGGATGGATAATCTGTATCGACTTTACTTTTATCAATGATACTAAGTATTAAATTGTAATAAATCTTTAAATCAACTCCTGTTAAAGTGAATTTTAATTAACACTTCACAGTATAATTCAAAAGAATTAGATTAAAATAATGAACGAAAAAGTCAAAAATTCAAAAGTCCAACGCATGCATACTTACTCTTATCATTCTTTGAGATTTTTAAAAAAAACGTAAACAACTTAAGCAGTTCTGAAGAAATTCATAAAAAAAAGTTATCAAGATTTTCAATTTATTGCTTATCGATAAAACTGAATTCACTGGAATTTGACGAATTTTGGGCTTTAAATGAAAGAAAATATGAATTTAAATCGATCCATTAGACTTTATTGATTTAACAACTATTTGATTTTTAAACAATAGAAATATGAATTCAAAAATTATCAAAGCTCTTCTTTCAGCACTTAGGATTCGACTCGTTGACAAACAATTGTGTACGAGTCATAACATTGTAAATCATTAAATCCAAACTTGGTTTTTGCTGATCTTTTACTCACACACAAGCAGTACTGATCAGATCCACTTGGTTGTCCTGGATACCAATCCATAGAAAATGAAATTTTCGTTCCAGTCTTCGTCCAATCTGTAGTAGATTTCTTGGTTAAAGTGATTCCGTCTGTCCAAAGCCAAACGTTTGACAACTTCTTCAAAATGCTGTTATTATCAGCCATGCTAATAAATGCACGAGATTCTTCAAGAGTCTCAAAACTCGGCAGTTCTAAATCAAAAGCTTTACAAAATGCCTTTGACTCAGCCCATGGTGCTTTGGAATATCTTGAAAGGAAAAATGATTTTTGATATTCGACATTATTATCTGTGAATCCTCCTGAAAATGATTTAACAAAAATTTAAACTTAGATTAGAAAACTATGAATCAGTCAACTTACTATAGGTTCCCATTTTATCAAATGCAACATCATTGACAACGATTGACGCCGCTTGAATATCGAAACTTAATGGACCGATTAAACTGCACGTCATGTACGTCAAAATACTACAAAAGAAAACCAAATAAATTATTTTTTGCATCTTTTATCACCGCTTCACTATGAACTGAATCAGCAACGAAAGTTATTTGACTTATATAGGAGGAATATGAAGTCTGTGATACCGATACTTGCAGGAATTTGAGACAAGAGAATATGCACAACATGTCCTAAAACTATGAGTAGTATCAATCTTCATCTTGACTATATGACACTTTGACTGAATATTTACAAAACGATAAAATTTAAAAGCAAGTCATCCTTATTGTTGCCAAAAATAAATTAATAGCGAAAACAACTGCAGCGAATGTTGGTTAATAGCAATGATAGCGATTTTTATTCTAGAAACTAGTAGAATATCTGAATACTCAGCCACTACCCACTAGGCAAATATTTTGAATATTTTTATGAAAATATATTAAAACTTTAAGATAAAATCACAGCGCATGACTATATACCTGATAAAAATTATACATCTGTCTCTGACAAGCCGTTGATTTTCTAGCGTTCCTGAGAAAGACGAGGCTATTGAAATTTTTATTTAAACTCAAACAATCAAAGACCTCTGCTTATCAATCCTAGCACTTAAGAAAATATTTCATTAAATTCTAATTAAAATGATAATCTTATCAATAATTGTAATGAAGTAGCATATTTAAGCTTATCTGTTTGCTAATCCTAAAGATAATCCTGCGTATAAAAACTCATGGATTTGTGAATCAAACAATCAATTTTAATAAAGCATTACTCGAGTTTACTTCACAAAATATTCAAATTTAAAAATATGAAAACCGTTTTTGCATACATTTTATTCTCTTTTGTGGTAATCAGTTCACAAGCGGAGTTGCCTCAACAATCAAACATTGTTGAAAAATCGGTTATTGTAGACAATGTAGCTTTCATTAAGATTGGAACATACAGTAAGAAATTGGTATTATGCTTATAAGGGCTCACAAATGACACTCTCATTTTTAAAAGGAGCTCCTATAAGTATCATAGGTAGTTAAATTTTTCAAAAAAATATATTCTACTATGATTTAGGAGGAACCACAGACGATGGAACCGAATACCAGAAATCATATTTTTACCCAAGATATTCGCCAAAAATTTCATGGTTTGACTCGAGATCAACATGCGAATCATTTGGATTTGAATTAACAACATTAGAAACGTATGAAGAAATGCAAATAGTTTTTAATCTGGCTGACAACTATTTGAAGACTCTCATTGATATAGGCATCTTTGTTGATGCTATGACTCTAACATTAAAATCAACAACAGATTGGTATTGGGCAAAAACAGGAAAAAAACTTTCATTTGCTTTACCATGGATTCCAGGTGAACCAAATAATTCTCAAAATGCAAACGAAGCTTGTTTACAATTCGGAAAAAGAACTGGTAGTGCGGTAACTGGATTTAATGATGTGCCATGTACATCAACTGCATACACATTTTTGTGCCAAAAAATTGAATTTTCAATACCTTTAAAGATTGAGGAAACTATTTAAATACTTGAAGGCGTTGACAACTCATTATCACAGCAAAAAATAGATTTAAGAAAGTATAATGAAAACTAATAATTTGTTACTTAATTTTAATTAAAACTTAATAATAATTTATTTTGTAAATAAGTTTCAGCAGTTATTTGCAGTTAATAGAAATACAAAAATGTAAATTTTAAAAATTAATTTAAGTTTTTATCCATCGATGATAAGAAAAATTCGATTCTTTGACAAGCAATCTTATAAGCATCATAACAATAACAGTCATTAAATCCACTTGTTGTCGTTAAAGTTTGTCTTCCAATACACAAACAAAATTGATCTATGCTACCTGGTGAATTAACATACCAGTCCATTGGAAATGTTACTTTCTTCCCTGATTTGGACCAATACCAATCTGTTTTTGACTTGCCAGTTAAGGCTATTCCGTCTAACCAAATCCATAAAGGATAAGTCTTTATTAAGACACTGTTAGTGTCAATCATGTTAAGGAATGCACGTGACTCGGCGAGAGTCTCAAAAGAAAATAAATCCATGTCAAATGCTTTGCATATTGCTTTTGACTCAGCCCAAGGTGCAGTTGAATATCTTTGAACAAAGAATGATTTTTGATATTCAGTTCCATCGTCTGTGAACCCTCCTATTGATTTTTAAACAAGTAATTAGATCCAAAATCTTTTATAAAATGAACTTACTGTATGTCCCTAGTTTCATGAATGCCACATCATTGACAACAATAGGATCAGCATTAGTTTCCACAATTGGATCAGTTGCAAATGTCTGATAACTTGTTAAGACAAAGCAAACAAAAAATATATGAGCTACTCTCAGCATTTTCTTTATATTCAAACTGAAGCTTTAGGTAAATTGTTGAATCTTTGGAGAAATGAATTGGTTTATATAGGAAAGTATTATATTGGCTGTTGATATTAGTATCAATAATTCATCAAATCTAGAAACCACTTGATAATTCTACGATAATTAATTAATATTCTTTTCATACTCCAAAGTTACGTACAAAGGTATCAGATGTAGACATTAAAAGTACAAAGCCTTGGAATCAAAACAATGCATGCTTATCGTTCTTCGCAATTTTAAAGAAAGTAAACAACACAAGTACAGATTGAGAAATCAGTGAGAAAAAGCTAATCAGTGCCATTTGTTATTTCAATTTCTGATATCGATTGTATTTCACAATCTTGAAAAAATCCTTGCTATATTGAGCTTATATAAGCTCACAATTTTTAAATGAACAATCAATTTTATTAAAGTTTTCCAAGTGTTAACTCTTCACTAGAACTGAGAAACATGAAAATATTTATTTCTTTTATTATTACCAATTTCATAGTGCTAAGTTTTGAAGCGGAACTGCCTCAACCGATATCTTTCGCAGATTCAGTTGTTATAGAAAATATTGCATTTATTAAAATCGGAACGTACAGTAAGAAGACTATGAAACTCTTAAAATTGCAGTCATTAATTCTTTTGCATTATAATTAGGAGGATTAACAAGCAATGGCGCTGAATACCAAAAATCCTACTTTTTTCCTAGACATTTGATGAAAACTCCATGGATTGAATCTAGAGCAGTTTGCAATTCATATGATTTTGAATTAACAATATTTGAGACACTTGCAGAAGCGGAAGCAGTTTTCACAATGGCTGAAAATAATAGCTACTTAAAAACAATTAATTCAGTCTTCATATTAGTTGACGCTATGACTTTGACATTGAAATCAACAACAGATTGGTATTGGACAAAAACAGGACAAAAGATTTCATATGCATTACCATGGATGCCAGGTGAACCAAACAATATTAATAACTTAAATGAATTGTGTCTTTCATTTGGTAGATCAACTTTGACATCTAGATTTGGATTTAATGATTCTCCATGTTCAGAAATTGTTTTTTCATTTTTATGTCAAAAAATTGAATTTTTTATGCCTTCAAAGACAATGGAAACTGTTTCAATTAGTTCGAATCACTAGAAATAAATTATTAACAAGAATAAGATTAAATAAATTGAAAAAGTCATAAAAATTATTGTTCTTTATTAATTTTAAGTCTTAACATATCAAGATAAAAAGAATTGGGTTCTTTGGCAAGCAATTCTATAAGCACCATAGCAGAAACAATCATTAAACTTTAATGTTGAGCTAAAATCATGTCTTGCTATGCACATGCAATACTGTTGATCATTATTTCCGTTTGGTTGATTTGGTAACCAATCGATTGAAAACGATATTTTCTTTCCTGTTTTACTCCAATACCAGTCAGTAGTTGAACCAATTGATGATAATGTAATCCCATCTGACCAAACCGAAATACTTGCTAATGTTCTTAGAGCACTATTAGTATCAAGCATATTAAGGAACGCACGAGACTCGACAAGAGTCTCGAAAGAAACTAAATCTAAATCAAATGCTTTACAGATTGCTTTTGACTCAGCCCATGGTGCTGATGAATATCTTTGGAGAAGAAATGTTTTCTGATATTCAACACCGGCATCTGTGAATCCTCCTTTTGAGTTTGAAAATAAAGTTGATGTTAGATCTAAGATTTTTGTTCTAAATATCAAATTGTGAACTTACTGTATGTTCCTAGCTTAATAAATGCGACGTCTTCTACAATGATGGAATCAGCTTGTTTTTCTATCATTGAAAGTGTTAAAATAGTCTTGCAACTACACAAGATGAGACACGTTAAAAATATTTGAGCTGCCTTTTGCATGTTTGTACTGTAACTTAAATGAATTTGTTAAATATTGAGAGTAATGTCTTGATTTATATAGACTCTACAGTATCATTTCTTATCAACAAGCATGAAATTCGTCAATAAGACAATAATATTTTAAGAAAGATTGGCATCGAATAGATAATAAAAGTCAAAGTATGAAATTGTGAGAAATAATTGAAATTAAATCAAAGATTTTAAAGGTTTAAATCCAACGATATGTAAGCATTGTTGATTGTGTAAAAGGAAAACCTAGAAAATATTTTTAATCTATTATTGAGAAATTATTTGGAAAAAGATAAGGAGTTTAATAAAAAGACATTAATAAATGCTAAAGTTAAGTCTTCTTTAAACCGAACCAGACTGATAACACTGATATAAAAGCACACCGAGTTTTGTTGAAATTATCAATTTTACTAAAGCATTCATTAAAATTACAAAACAAAAATAATTGCAAGTGTTAAGAAATGTATAAATTAATTCTGATTCTTGTTTTAATTGGTTCATATGGAAATTCAGCTTCAACTTCATCTAGCTTTGCAAATCAAATACTAATTGAAAATGTATCATTCGTTAAATTAGGGACATATAGTAAGTCAACTGAAAGTTATTCATAGTTGCAATATGAAATAAATTTTATTTTAAATGATTCAGGAGGATTTGCACCAGATGGAAGTGAATATCAAAAATCATATTTCTATCCAAAATATTCATTGACAGCTCCGTTTCTAGAGTCCAGAGCGATTTGCAAATCATACGACTTTGAGTTGGCAACATTAGAGACGCATGCGGAAGCACAGGCAATTATTAAATTAGCTCAAAACCTTGGCAGTGAATATTTTTATGTTGATGCCATTGCTCTTACACTAAAATCACCAACTGACTGGTATTGGACTAAATCAGGGAAAAAACTTTCATTCGCTTTACCTTGGGGTGCAGGAGAACCGAATAATTACAATAACTTGAATGAGACTTGTCTAGCATTGTCGTCAATTGGATTTGTTGATTTACGATGCACTTTATCTCGTCTATTTGTTTGTCAAAAAATCGAGTTTATGATTCCAAATGTATTGTAAAATTAATCTCAATTATTCAAATGTTTTATTGTCAATATCTCCTTTCCCGAATCAGACCAGAAATTATTCAATAAAATAATACCAAGAGGAATTTATAATACCAAGTCACTGTTCTGGTTGATGTGCGTAAAAAATAAAATTATTTTGTGAAAAACTTATAAATTTATTTAATTTTATATTTCTGTAATAAAGTTATTAAGATATCATCTGCAAAAGTCAATCTTCTATGGAGAATCGACTTTTGTTCTTTGAAGCGTTCCTACAAGAATGAGAATAATCTACTCTTTGACAAACAAATTTGTAAGACGAACCACAATTGCCATCATTAAATGCAAATTTCGTGTTAATGTTTGCTTTGCCAACTACTAGACAGAACTGTCCATTACCACTTGGATTTCCATCAGTCCAGTCGAATGAAAATGAAATTTTCTTCCCTGATTTTGTCCAATACCAATCACTTGTTGACTTTTCAACTAATGTGATCGCATCAATCCATAGCCAGACAGCAGTTAAACTCTTTATATTGGTATCATTTTCAGTCATGCTAAGGAACACACGAGCTTCTTGAAGTGTCTCCATTGATGCTAATTCTAAGTTGTAAGCATTACAAATTGCATGAGACTCAGCCCAGAGTGAGGAGGAATATCTCGATAGAAAATATGATTTTTGATATTCAGTGTCTCCATCCGTAAATCCTCCTGTAAATTGATTTATTTAATTTGATTTTTAAATAAAAAATATTTATAATAAACTTACTATAAGTTCCTAATTTGATGAAAGCAATATCATCAACAACTATTGGACCCACTAATGAATCTGTCGATGCCGTTAACATTTGACAAGTGAATATTTGGATAAATAAGAACAAGAACATTCTTTTGATGTTCTTTCAATTGAGACTGAATCAAAAATGAACTTTTTTGAAGAATATTTCGGGATTTTATATGCAAAAGATTATCGGTGACAATCGCGGATTGTTTGTCGGTATCTTTACAGCTAATTTAAATGATTGAAATGAGTAATGAAATTAAGATTTGCAAAAGTTTGCGACTTAATTTTATGTTTGTGAAAAAAAAATCTCAAATTATTGTTAAGGTTCATTTTTATTAAATAAAACCAAGGTTTATAGCCAGATGGATGGATGAACTTACTTTTTATTTCGTCAAAATAATTCAGTCTACAACATGAATCATTTCAACTAGCTCTAACATAATAAAATAATATCAAAGTTCGAATAATCTTGTCTTTGACAAGAAAAACTCAGTTCTTTGGCATATAAATTTTAATGGCACATCACATTTACCATCATTAAACCCAAATTTAGCATTAATAGTAGATTTACTAACACACAAACAACGCTGTCCACTACCACTTGGTTGTCCTGGATACCAATCTATTGGAAATGAAATTTTATTTCCCGTCTTCGTCCAATACCAATCTGTTGTTGACCGTTCGGTTAGAGTAATTCCATCAATCCAAATCCAAATTGAATCCAATGGTCTTAAGCTACTTTCATTATCAACCATACAAAGAAATGCTTGAGCTTCAGCAAGTGTTTCCATTGTGGCTAGTTCTAAACCATAAGCACTGCAAACCGCTTGTGACTCAGCCCAGAACGAGGAGGAGTGTCTTGAGAGAAAGAATGATTTTTGGTATTCAGCACCTGCATCTGTGAATCCTCCTGTTAATTTATTGATAGTTAAGTTTGATATTTAAGGAAATATTGATGAAAACACTTACTGTAGGTTCCTAATTTTATGAAAGCGACATCATTAACACCAACTGGATTAGTTTGAGATTCTGTCGGTGCCGTCAAAACTTTGCATGTAAAAACTTGTAGAATTAAGAATACGAAAAGAAAAAACATTCTTTTGTTGTACTTTAAATTGTGTCTGAATTAAAAATGAACTTCCTGGCTGAATATTTATAGGTTTATATGCCAAAGATTAGCTGTTGCATTTACGAGCTATTTGTCGGTGTGTTTTGCTTAATCTTTATGTTTATTGGTTCAAATGATAACTTAATTGACAATTCCGCTTGATTCATAAAATAATTCTTGCAGGAAATAAGCTTTAAATTTGATATTTTTATTGTTTCGCAAATAAGTAAAAGATTTCATAGGAAAACGATAAGTTTGCAATACTTGACTTTTAAATTCTATTAGATTTTTTTTCTATTTGATAAGCGCGCATTTAAATTAATTCCAATAATACAGATGATAAAAATAAAAAAAATGTTTAAGGTATAAAAGCTGAAATTTTGCTTCAATAATTAGCAATCATAAACAAACAATTCAATCAACTTCTTCAAAAATGTTGAAATTTATTTTAATTTTAATTTCTCATATTTTAATTTCATTTATTAGTCCCAACCCTATCATGGAACTATCATCGCTAACACCTGCTACTTCCACTACTTTTGATAATATAGCTTTCATTAAGTTAGGATCATACAGTAAGTTCATGTTTAATAATTTTTCAAACATTAAAGAATGAAAAATCTTCTTTTTTTCATTTTTATTAAGGAGGATTCAATAACGATGGAATCGAATACCAAAAAACTTATTTTTTTCCTAGATTCTCTCGACCAGATTGGGCTGGATCAAGATCATTTTGCAGTTCTTATAAAATGGATTTATTGACACTAGAGACCAAATCAGAAGAGCAGTCACTGTTAAATTTTCTTGATACCAACAGTTACTTAAGAACTGTCAATAGTTTTTCGATGTTTATAGACGCTATTTCAGTTGCATGAAAGTCAAAAACTGAATGGTATTGGACTGATACTGGAAATAAAATTTCATTTCCTATGTCATGGATTGGAAATGAACCTGACAATAAAACATATTACGAATATTGTCTTTTAATCTTCAAAAATACTATTAATGAAAAATTTGGGTTTGGAGACGGAGATTGCAATATTGCTAGATATCTTGTTTGTCAAAAAATTGACTTTATAATGTCTTAATTAATATACTATGGTCATATAAGGTTAATAAAAAAGCAAAAGCTAATTTAAAAGATAACAAGTTAAGTATAAAATCATAATTAAAGACTTGTAGACATTTAGTTGTAAATTAACAATAAAAATGTTTAAACCAATTTTAATTCTCTCAATATTTTGTTTGCCAGCTTATTCTGAATTTAACTTTCATTTTTCAGCAAACACAAACACAGCAATTGTGGAAAATGTGTCATTTAATCAACTTGGAACGTTTAATAAGTAACTCAAGGTCACTAATCATAAAATGACTTAAGAAGTTTCACTAATTCATTGAAAAATAACAGGAGGATTCACAGATGAAGGCTCAGAGTACAGAAAAACTTATTTCTTATTAAGATACATGAAGAACACCTGGGGTGAAGCTAGAGCCATTTGCAAATCATTTGATTATGAGCTAGCAACATTTGAGACTTTATCAGAAGCAAAAGCATTTCTATCAATGGCTGATAGTCACAGTGCATTTCAAAGTTTTGCAGGTGCTTATTTTTTAATTGACGGAAACACATTGACACCCAAATCTACAACAGATTGGTATTAGACAAAATCTGGGAAGTTAATTCAGTTTCCGATCCCATGGCTTACAGGTCAGCCAGATTATGGCCTCAATCTTGAATATTGTTTGTCATTTGGAAGACGAAATGAAAGTCAAAGTTTTGGATTTAATGATTTAAGATGTTTTGAAGTTGCTTTTCACTTCGTGTGCCAAAGAATTGAACTTCTGTAGTATTTTACAATGCTAAAATAAAAACGTGGATTTTAAAATTCACATGAAATTAAGTTTATCAATTAATTCATAAAAATTAAAAGATAAGCTAATCTCTCAGAAGATAATAATTCCTCTATAAATTCACTTTTTCTATACAAATTTCATCAATTATACCAAGTCATTCCTTTGAATAAAATATAAAAATGTTCAAACCAATTTCAATTATTTTTGTTTATATTCTAGTCGCAACTTGTGATGAAAACCACGAATTTTTAAAATCATCAAATTTTAGTGCAATCGAAGATCAAATATTGATATCATCTGTCGACACTCTTGCTATTGAAAATATACCATTCTATAAATTAGGAACGTACAGTAAGTTAATTGTTAAAAAAAAATTATGAAAATTCGATTATGTCCGATTATTCATTTTTAACTAGGAGGATTTACTGACGATGGAACTGAATATCAAAAAACATATTTTATATCAAGATATTCTGTTCTTCCTTGGGCAGAATCAATATCGTTTTGCCATTCTTTTAATATGGAGCATTTGACATTTGAAACACAAGCAGAAGCACAAGTTTATCTTAATCTTCTCAATAGCTTTTGGAGAACAGTTTCTCCTGTACAGTTTTGGATAGACGGTATGTCTGTTGATCCAAAATCAAAAACTGAATGGTTTTGGGCAAAAACAGGAAAGAAAATATCGTTTCCTCTTTCATGGCATCCAGCTAATCCATTTAATTATATTTGTCTCAGCCTTTTTAAACAGAATATTAATGATAATTTTCTGTTTCGAGGAGATGAATGCAACTCTAGAAAAGGTGCATCTTGTCAGAAGATTGACTTATTAATACCTTGAATAAATAAGTTTTAAATCATATTTTTATTAATTTTTTGATAAAATCTATTGAAAACCGTTCATGAATAAGCCAATTCATTGAAAAGCTAATAAATAAATGATTGATTTGATTGTATATTAAAAGTTTCACAAGAAAACAATCTTATCACTTTGGGTTGAAATTTAAAGATAAGCTAAATCATTCCTATATAAGTTCGTACTCATTGTACAATTTTAATAAATCACTTCGCCAAATACAACCAATGAAGATGTTCAAAACAGTTTTAATTCTTTTAACAAGCGGTTTGCTAGCTAATGCTGAAGAAGTGTTCCAATTCCAAGCAAATGCTGGCACAGTAATTGTAGAAAATGTGTCTTTTATTAATTTAGGAACATACAGTAAGTAACTTAAGTCTTTTAAAAGTACAAAAATTTAAATTTATTTACTAATTCATTAGGAGGATTCACTGACGAAGGCTCAGAATACAAGAAAACTTATTTTATGTCAAGATATATGAAGAATACTTGGGGTGAAGCCAGAGCTATTTGTAGATCATTTGATTTTGAGCTGGCAACATTTGAGACTTTATCAGAAGCGAAAGCATTTCTATCAATGGCTGACAATAACAGCTATTTTAAAAGTTTTGCAAATGTCTATTTCATTGTTGATGGCACAACCTTAACACCTAAATCTACAACAGATTGGTATTGGCCTCAAACTGGTAAAAAAATACAATTCCCGATTCCTTGGGGAACAGGACAGCCAGATTTGTACAATAATAATCCAGAATTCTGTTTCTCGTTTGGGAGAAGAAGTGCCAATGAAAATTTTGGATTCAATGATCTACAATGTTTTGAGGCTGTTTACCAATTTGTATGCCAAAGAATAGATTTTTTTATACCTTATTAGTCCATTCTTAAACTCTCGTTTTTGTTAAGTTAAAAAATTTCAATTTCACAAGAAAAAATATTTATCAATTAATGCATACAAAAGTCAAAAGATAACGAAATATTTAAGTAAAAATCATTCCTATATAAGTTTGCATTGTTTGTTCATTTCATTAATTTAAACAACTCATTCCTGAGAATAAACTCAACAAAACAATAAAAATGTTAAAAGCTCTTTTAATTATTTTTGTTCAAATCTTAATCTCAAGTTGTGATGATTCCTTTACGTCAGCGAATCTAAGTCTAATACCTGTCAATTCCGCTATTTCAGAGAATATTGGATTCCTAGAGTTGGGAAAATATAGTAAGTTTGATCAATTAATTAAGAAATCTTTTAAATTTCATAGATTTTAACTAGGAGGATTCACTGACGATGGTGCCGAATACCAAAAAACATATTTTGTCTCCAAATATTCTCGACCATCTTGGGCTGCATCAAGATCATTTTGCAACTCATTTAATATGGAGCATTTGACAATTGAGACAAAAGCAGAAGAACAAGCATATCTTAATCTTCTAGAAACAAATATTTACTTGAGAAGATTTAGTGGATTTTATATTTGGCTTGACGGATTGGTAGAAGATCCAAAATCAAAAACAGAATGGTTCTGGGCAAAAACCGGAATCAAAGTTTCATTTCCCATCACATGGCATCCAATTGAGCCAAACAATGAATATTGTCTTGTGATATTCAGGCACACAATTAATGAAAAGTTTCTGTTTGGAACTGGTGAATGCAACACTAAAAGATGGTCTGGTTGTCAAAAGATCGACTTACTCGTACCATAAATAACGAAAATATTGTAAATCAATTAAAATGTTTAATTAAATGCAATATTTTGATTTTGAAGGAAGGCAATCTAATCAGTAAAATTGAAAGATAAGAAAATTCCTTTTTGATAATCATTTCTATCCTATATAAATTGACTGTTTCAATTCAATTGATTAATTCACTTGATTCACTTCTATTGAGTAAATAATAAAAATGTTTAAAACAATTTTAATTGTTTTTGTTAATATTTTATTGGCAAACTGTGAAGAAAGCAGCAATCCGTTAACATCAAATGCAAACTTTTTAGAGGTTATAGCTTTTAGAAAATTGGGCTCGTATAGTAAGTTCTAAGAAAGACAACTAATTTTAATTGCGTTTTATTGTATTTTATTTTACAGGAGGATTTGCTGCAGATGGTGTAGAATATCACAAAACATATTATCTTTCAAGAAATGTTTGGCTAACTTGGGCTGAAGCATTATCATTTTGCAAATCTTATAACTTGGAATTCTTGACACTTGATGCTCCAGAAGAAGCAGAAGCATACTTCAACTTAGTTGACACAAATGCATTTTTTAAAACTCAATCTACAGCATGGTTCTATGTTGATGCTTTCGCAATGACATTGAATTCTCGTACAGATTGGTATTGGTCAACGACAGGACAAAAAGTTTCTTTTCCTATTCCTTGGCACCCAAATCATCCTCGACATCAGTATTGTCTTTGTCTTAACAAAGAAAGTTTAAATGCCAGATTTTATTTTTATGACGCAGGATGTAATGGAGCTGCTGGAGCTGCATGTCAAAAAACTACCATTTTATCTGCTAATTCTAAAAAGTAAACACTAAAAAATTGTAAAATATTTAAGATAAATAAAAATATAAAGGCATCTGTAATCACTGTGAATTTTAAAAATTAGAAAGTTAAATTCAACATATTGCTGACCATAACATAGATAAGTAACATTTCATTGTCATTTAAAATTTAAGCTGAAAAATTGCAAAAAAAAATTATTAGCAGGTCTTGTTTGTAAAGATTTCACAGGAAAAAGAATCAATAATTTCTTTATCATTTCATTTTCCAAGTAATATTAAATCCTTACATCGCTTATCAGCGTCATTCGAAAAAATCTTTTCATTTGAATGCATCCCACAATATGATGAAATTAATTTTGTCAGTTTTGCTTTCTGTTTTATTTTCCAAATTTATTAGGAGGCTTTACGGAAAATGGTTCTGACTATCATAAAACCTATTTGCTGTCAAGATACATGCACAATAGCAATTTGTTTTATTGGTTAACCATTGAGAAAAAGATTTCATTTCCTATTCCTTGGTATCCAAATCATCCAGGGAGTCAGCACTGTCTTTGTCTCATCAAAACATCCATAAATGGAAAGTTTTATTTTTATGACACATCCTGTACTGGGGTTGCGGGGACTGTTTGTCAAAAAACTGACATTTTAACTCCTCAATCCGAAAAATAATTATTTAAGGATGATATAAAATAATTGATTTAATTTAATAAAAATATGATTTTAACCAATTTAGAAAATTATTTGTTAATAACCAAAAAAAAAAAACATTTTAACAATTTACTTTTATTAAGCTACCTTTTCGAAACAAGTGTCAAAAATGCGCTAAAAAATTAAGATTTCATAAAAATGAACCATAGTCAGACACCTGTAATAATTGTGATTTCGAGGTAGATATTACTGCTGATAAGAACATCATTAAGCAATATTTCGTTGAACTACTTAATGTGTAAGCTACTGAAATACATGAAAAGATAAAAATAATAATCTTGAATCCTTTTGTTTATTTTGATTAAAATCGTAGATTATTTTTGCAATATAAATAGCGCAATTTTTCAAACATTGAATCAAATAAAGCATTTTAAACAACGCATAATAAAAATGATGCGAATAATATTTCTATTTTTATTTTCTTGCTCCATTCTTAATTATGAAGCTTCGCCTGTACCTGTTATACTCAATTCAGCCAATGTAAGTGATGTGGTCTTTGCAAACATGGGAACATACAGTAAGTACAACTATCTTTTATCAATTTTTATTATAACATAAACTTTTACAGGAGGATTTACAACCGATGGCTCAGAATACCAAAAATCATATTTCGTATCTAGATGGTTTGGTGAAAATTGGACTGGAGCAAGATCATTATGTTCATCATTCAATTTACAACTTGTTTCACTGCAAACATTGCAAGAAGCTCTAGCATTTCTTTACTTGGCTGATACTCATCCGTATTTTAAAAAGTTTACAGCTGGTTCAATGTTCTACATTGATGGAATGACATCGATAATGAAGTCAACAACAGAATGGTATTGGGCTGACTCTGGAAATAAAATATCATATCTGATGCCTTGGCTCTCTGGTCAGCCAGACAATGCTAATGGTGATGAACGGTGCTTGGCGTTTAGAAGAAATACTCCGACTCAAAATTATAGATTTGTTGACTACACTTGTTCTGGGGGCCCTCATTTTGTTTGTCAACGAATTGATTTCTTTATAGCTTAATTAATTTTAAAATAAAAAGAAGAGAAATAATAAAATTTAATGCTTTTGTTCTTAATTAAAATCTATGAAATAAAGTCTTATCGCATAATCTTTTGTTTTTAAGGCAGAAACAGTCCCACATTACTGAAGTGACATTATTCACAATTTTGATAACGAAAATCACTTTAATTTTGAGATTATACGTAGAATTAAAAGGATCAGTTAAAGTTAACTGCCTCGATAATATTCAGATAAAATTTTGTTTATAAACGTACAGTTGCTTAACTGTTTAGATCAGTTTCAAACAATTTTCTGATAATTATTCACATTTAAATCCTGAAAATGTTAAGCAAAAGTTTAGTTCTAATGCTTCAAGTTTCTTATATTTTTTGCAGCACTGATATACAGGAAGCACCATCATTATCTCTGAATCCCAATCCAGTGATAGTGAACGACGCAACTTTTATAAATTTAGGAACTTATAGTAAGTGAAATGCAAACTTGATCAAACTTTGACTTTGACAATTCTTACTTGCAGGAGGATTTACTGACGGTGGGGCAGAATATCAGAAGTCTTACTTTGTCTCACGATTCATGAAAGCACCTTTTGGCGAATCAAGAGCAATTTGCAGGTCTTACGATTTGGAACTAGTGACTTTAGAAACTTTAAATGAAACACTGGCTTTCCTCAAAATGGCTGATAACTGCAAAATTCTACAAAGTCTTGAAATTCTTGTTGACGGTGCAACTTCTTCACCGAATTTGAAAGGAGATTGGTTATGGACAAAGACAGGAGCTAAAATCTCATTTCCTATTCCTTGGGACGCTGATCAACCAAATGCTTTTAATAATGTTCAATTTTGCTTGTCAATTTACAAAGAGAATATGACGAAAAACTTTGGTTTTAATGATACTTTTTGTACAAATCCATTTTTGTTTGCTTGCCAAAGAATTGAGCTTTTCATACCTAAAGTAGCTGATACCGTTTAAATACTTAACTAGCACACATGTTGTAATATTTTGTGGTTTTGTTTACCATTTATTTATTTGTAAAAATGATAATTTTTAAAAATAAAATGAATTCTTGTTAAGCATTAAAAAAAATAATCTTATCACATTTTTGAACTGATTCGCAAAATTGTGCACTCATTTGTTTTTAAACCGATACTGACCTTTCTTAATAAAGATAACATTTCTTTGTCTAAAAATATATTTCGACAGAACAATAAATTAATATTCTGATAACAACATTTCTCTCGATTATAGAGTTAAATGGACATCAATCAACATTAATAACAACATCAACAAATCAATAACAATTATTAAATTACAATGCTCAGTATTACTCTAGTCTTATTTTTACTATTTTCAACTAGTTTTTGCAACGTCTTAACTGAAAAGATGATGTAGCTTTTGTAAAATTAGGAACATATAGTAAGTATTTTATGATGGTTGCATGTAAAATTGATGAATTTACAAATGATTGTGTCCAATATTTAATAATAAAGTATTTAATTAATTTTTTAACTTTAATTTTTGATGAATTTACTTTGATAAAAAAAGGAGGTCTTGCAGACGATGGAGCAGAATATCAAAAGTCTTATTTTGTTTCAAAATACATTACAGCATTTTGGGGAGAATCAAGAGCAATTTGCAAATCTTACAATATGGAACTTGTTTCACTGGAAACTTTGAATGAAGCTCAAACTTTCCTAACGTTGGCTGATAATAGAAAGCATTTAGCTAGTAATCAAGATATCTACATTGATGGAACAACGTTAACACCAAAATCACCTACTGATTGGTATTGGTCGAAAAATGGAGCTAAAATCAATTATTCCATTCCTTGGTATCCAGGTCAACCAAACAATGGAGGCAACAATCAGTTTTGTTTGGAAATTTGTAGAGAAAATACTAGTACTAAGTTTGGCTTTAATGATTTTAGTTGCTCATATGCAATGAATTTTGCTTGTCAAAGAACTGAGCTTTTTGTACCTTCAGTTAAAACTTAAAAGTTAATTAAATTTGTCGTAGTGATTTAAAAACAAATAAATATTGTAAATCCTATGAGTCGTTAGTTCTATTTTCTTATCATTTGTGACAAAAATTGATAGCAAAATGTCCTAGTTTTAAAATGCCAATGATTCAAAGAGGTTCCGAATCGGCTTAATTCAAAAGAATTGCTTGTAGTTTTCCGTATATAAAGGCAGTTGAATTCTTAAAAAAGACAATTCATTTCAAAAAGTGCATTAAAAGAGAAACTTCTTTTAAAAATGGAAAAAATAATTTTTATCATATTAATTTTAATTATTCTTGCTGATTGTAAGACACTGACTGCACGAACAGCAATAGAACCTATTGCTGATCCAATTGTGGTAGATGATGTTGCATTTTTTAAAATCGGAACTTACAGTAAGTAACTTATTATCTCTTCAAAATGCAATTATGCTTCTGAAAATTTACTTTAAAACTCAACAGGAGGATTCACAGATGAAGGTTCAGAATATCAAAAATCCTACTTTTTATCAAGATATAGCACTGCCTTTTGGGCTGAATCAAAAGCTATTTGTAAAGCTTTTGATCTAGAACTGGCATCAATGGAGACGCTAGCTGAAGCTCGTGCATTATTTACAATGTGTGAAAATCACAGTTTCTTAAGAACATTAGGTTCTACTTGGATTTGGGTAGATGCTATAGCTTTAACAGGAAAATCGACATCTGATTGGTATTGGACCAAGTCTGGAAAGAAAATTTCATATCCTATTCCTTGGTATCCTGGAGGTCCAGATACGGCAGATCAGTTCTGCATGGTAATTGGAAAAGTTAACATCAATGCAAAGTTTGCATTCAATGATGGTCATTGTTATGCTGCTTTTCGATTTATATGCCAAAGAGTCGAATTTTTTATGCCATAAATTAAAAATAGGTTCCAAAAGATATTGCATAATCTGGATTTTCCTTATCAAGTTTTTTGTTTAAAAGATTATAACAAAATATGTCAACAATTGACCCAAAAATCGAATGTAAGTGCTGATAATTAAAACCTATAAATAAGGAGTAAGTTTTCAAATTTAATTTAGTTTTAAGAAAACACAATTTCTATTAACACTTAAAAAATAAAATGTTTAAATTACTTTCAATCTTGACTTTGTATATCTTCCAAACTAATTGTATGGAATCAAGTGCAAATATAGAGTCTTAATTTCAATCCAGTAGTCACAAACTATCCTGCATTTATAAAACTTGGAACTTTTAGTAAGTTGCTCATAGAACCTTCTAGACTCTCCTGACTATGACTAAAGCTTATTACCTTATTCTCATACTTTACAGGAGGATTGACAGACAATGGTTCAGAATATCAAAAATCATATTACTTTCCAATACATTTTAGAACAAATTGGGGAATCGCAAAATCACTTTGCTCATCATTTGGTTTAGAACTAGCGACAATGGAAACACGTGCAGAAGCTGATTCATTTCTTGATATTGTAGAATTTCATCAAACCATTCGATCGCTTGGACTCATTTGGATTCTTATTGACGGAATTACTTCTGTGCCGAGATCAACTACAGAATGGTTTTGGAAAAAATCTGGAAATAAAATCTCGTTTATGCTTCCATGGAATCCTGGTCAACCAGATTTTTATAACAATCGTGAACTTTGTCTTACTGTTGGTAAAGGAAATCCTAGTCATAGATTTGGATTCAATGATTGGCCTTGTTGGGATACAGCAACACCATTTATATGTCAAAAAATTGATTTTGTTATGCATTAAATTGAGTTTGACTTATAAAATTTAATCTTTTTCATAAATTTATACTTTTAACAAAACTTTAACATGCTTTATACTGAATACTAGTCACAACGACGCTCTCAGGTCAAACATGATGAATAAAAGTTAACGTAAATGAAGCAAATAAAAGAGATTTTATTCATCAGTTACCATAATCGTAAAATATATTACAATCGTGACTGAATAAAGCAAGAAAGATTTCTACCTTAAATATTCAAAATATTCTTTTGCCTCTAAATCATTTATCCAGACAAATTTCAAATTTTTCATGCTTTTAAGGATTTCCACAATGCTGAAAATAAAAATATGCTTGACCAAAAAAAATACAGAGAATCCATGTAATGAGCATCCATCAAATGAAAAAGTCATAAACCACCTGCTACCAGCAAAAGCTTCAGCTTTCACAGAAAGAGAAGAAAAAAAAAATACTTTTGAATCTTAGTGCTGTGCAACATATGGTCCCGAAAAATGTAATTCAAAAAATTTTTGTTTCTCTTTTTCGACGAAGAAAAAAAAAACTTTTTCGGTTAACTTTTTTTTCTCGCTTGGACAAAAATTGAAAAGAAAAATATTCTCGTGCTCAACACGATACATATGAAAGGCAGCTATGGCAACTTCTGTATCATAAGAAAATATAAAGTTTTTTTTTAAGAAAGACGGAATCACTTTATTGTAAGAGAACTGGGAATGATGGTTGATGTGAATTTTATTGTAGGCATATTGACTAGGGTTGACTAAGGTAAGGGTACTTGAAATGACATGCTTATCTTAGACTTGAGATTAGTAAGCTAGAAGGAGAAGGGATTTTGACCTCAAAGGGGATAGAAACTAGGATTGAAGCTACCTTAATTAAGCCGAATTCATATCGATATCATTCCTTTGACTGGCTCAGGATCAGAATTCGATGATGAGATTGCCTTAAAAGAGTAGGATTTGTTATAGGCATAGCTATATAACGAGAAACTCGACACTGCTCTTCTTACTGATGAATTCCAGAAAAAGCAAAAAAGCTGCAAATATTTTGAATATCCTTTAAGCATCAAATCCATCCTAAACTATTTCAATGCGCATCAAACCAAAATCTCAAAGAAATGCTTCCAACTTACCTCAATACACTTCCTCATCCTGAAGGAGGAAATATCATAAACAACCGAACAACCAATGCTACACAACACAACATTCTTTCCATAACTTTGAGAGCAATCAGTGTAACATATTGAAATGTACGAACGAGCAACAAGAAGAAGGAAGAAAAGGAACGAGGAAAAAATAGTATATGAGAGCCTACAATAATTCAATTTTTGTGTCCATTTATGACATATTTTGGAATCGAAGGATTATTTTATGTGCGTTGGGTAAATGTGTGTATATATAACTTTATTTTTTGTTGCCTCTCATCTATGTTAAGGGGATCATTTTAGGAATTTGAAAAGGGACACCGAAGAACAACCGGCGAAGGATATTTTTTTTCTTCTCTTATGTGTACATGCTTGTAACGGAAGATTGAGATTTGAATAATATCTCGAGAGCTTTTTTTTTATCTTCAAATCAAATTTACATCGTGTTATTTTAAATTATGTGAATTAAAGTATTAATAAGGCGAATAAAACTGCGAAATATATAATTAAACAATTACAACACATTCAGGCGTATTAAACAATTCAAATTGAGCTAAATCTTTATTTAATTACAGCGATATTGACAAAAATATATATTTAAAGGTTTTATCACCTAAGGTGTAAAATTATCATCCCTTAGAGCCTTTAAATATATCTATGGCGTTTAATTAAAATTCTATGGCGTTAAAAAATATTAAAACCCACTTAAAAATATAAATTAAGTAAAAAAATTATTTATTTAAATGTTATTTATTGGTTAAATCATTGTTGAACATTGAATGTCCATCATTGAGCCACAACAATCGTTAATCAAGTTTTATCACTCATGCAGTAACGCATGGAGTCTTGATTTGGGTCGAAACAAGCATTTTAATCCTGTACTACGACTGGATTTCACTCCATTTACAAGATTAGATCCAGTGAGTCATCGAATCATCCCATCTTTCAAGTTTAAAGTCAAATTGGATGATCCTTTAGAGATAGCATCGCTTGATTTCATCAATTCGTTAGCAGAGTCATTTGAGATATCTCTAAATAGTACAGTGTTGCAAGTTCATCCATTAATTAATGTAGCCAAGTGGAAATTTAGTCGAGACACAAACCGGAATCAAATTCAAAAGTTTCCGTTACAGATTGATCACGTGTTAAGATTATTAAGACCTAAATTTCGTGCTACATATTGGCGAACTTGGCAAAGGACGAAACAACAGCCGAAAAACAGAAAGAAACATCATCAATCAATTAATGGAACACAATCATACAAATTCAAAGCAAAATTAAGAATGTCATTCCGAAATAATTTACCTGTACCGACAAGAGGATTAAGATACAATGTTCAGCATATAACTCAACCACAATATATTCGTCCAGTACCTAATTTTACCCAGTTTGTTGATGATTTGTCACCACTACAAAGAAAATTTGTCATATCGATCCATGGACTTTCGGAGGAATTAAATGTTCGAGACCGTGACGTCGTTGAAGGAATTAGAAGGTTTCTTATTGAGGACACAAATACTTGGAAGCAAGGCAAAGTACCCATTTATTGCTATCGCTATGTTGAAGCAGCAACAGCATATGCTGTATTCTTGGAACAAATTGCTTACGTTCATGAAGGTTTTAACAGTCGAGGTTTTGGAGATAAAGAAAGACGATTTTTATGTACACAAATTGAGTCTTTAACAGATCTTTTCTATGCAAGTATTCCGACCATCAACAATTTAACATTCTTTGAACAGTCTCGTTACAAACAAGAGTTTCAGCAGCTACAGTCATATCGAGAAGCTTTAGTAAATACAGCAGATTTTTCAACATCATTAACAAATGTAATGCAACTTCCAAATGACACTCGTGATTTTTCTCGTACTGTTCCTACGTCATTTTCAACACCTCACATTACACCGTCCATTAGACCATCTCGTTTATCTAATGTACCACAACCGGAAATTCCAACAACTATTTCATCACCTGGAACATCTGGTGTTTTGCAACAAATATCTGAAGAATCAAATAGCAAAATGATAATTGACAATACATTCGAACAGCAACCATCAACAGTTACTACAACTTGTGAAATGTCTATAGCATTAAGTTCAACTTTAACTAATGTTACTTCCACCAATATTTCAAATGTTATCACATCCACAACACAATCAATAATTGCACCACTAACATCCACAAGTCAAAAGCAAGTCGTGTCTGAGGACGATATTCAAGGAAGTAATACCGACGAATTGAATTTTCATCAACAGACAGTTCAAGATTCAATATCAGACGCATTTGCAGCTATGAGCTTTAATGAGCAATATAATACATGTGTGGAATCAAATCAAGAACCAAATTTCGGACATAACATCAGTCAAACAATAGATAGCAATAGGAATTTTTCATTTCCAAAATTCAGACATCAATCTCCTCAAACTTATCAAAATAAAGGAATTAATAACATTCAGCATTTGCCGAGATTACCACAATCAACCATAACCAATCCAGCACACATTGCTGATGGAAATGCTCAAAATATGAGGTATAATAATTCTGGCATTGAAAATTCATCACCTGCTAGCAACCTCAATAATTTGAATTATGTTGAAAGGGATTATAACCCATGCGAAAATAACTTTCGTTATGTGCCTTTAAACAACAGCAACAGTAATCGAAATCCATTTCCACCACCAAACAACAACAGCAATAATAATGTCAATGTCAATGATTTAACAGAGCTATTGACAAGAATGATATCGATACCTAGAACTAACTCATATATGCCAAAACTTAATGATTGGTATCCAAAGTTCACTGGAAGCGATGATTGCTCTTTAATTGATATTTTGGATCAATGGGAAAAAATGGCAGAAAATTGTGGCATGAGTCATACAATCTTATTGTCACAAATTCAAATGTTATTAAGAAATGATGCTTTGAGATGGCACAACGCTATAGGAGTTGATATAAGAGATTGGTCACAATATAAATCAGCTATCATTAACCGATTCCAAGCAAAAGAAAAAATAGTTTCGTTATTCATGAGCAATGTGAATGAACAGAAACAAAACGAAAAATTTAATTCTTATTATGCTCGTCTACGTATGTTAATTAAGCAATCAGGAAAGGAAATAACAGACAAACAATTAGTTACAAGATTATTAACTGGATTACGTGATACCAGATGTCGAGATGTCGTTCGTAACTATTCATCATCAGAACAAGCTATTGACTGGAATAGAATAATTAAAAACATTAACGAAATTGAAATAGAATACGATTTAATAGCAAGATCGAAACAAAATGTCCCATTATCATCTGAGAGACTTAAATCATTACCTCTCAAGTGGAACATTAATAACGACATAAAAAATTTACAGTTCAAAAATGCAGAAAAATTCGTTAATAATTCACCATACTTCCAAAAAGAAGTAAATGCGACAACCAAATCCGACACAAACAATGTTAATTCTACAGTTAAAAATTTTACACCCGATAAGCAGCAATTTAACAAAAAATTTAACTTTAAAAATAAGTTTAATGTTAATAAGCCCAAGAAGGATATAGCAGCAGTTGAAATCAACAATTACATGGAACCATCAGAAGAAGTTATTCAGGAAATTGAAGCCAATCAACTGATGCTAATGGATTTATTTGAAAAGAGTAATTGGAGTGACAATGATGTAAATGAATTTATGTCTATGCAGTCATGTTCCAATTGTGATGAAGATGGACACATATTGGAAGTCTGTCCATTATTAGAAGACAACAAGTTTAAGCAGCAATGCACATATTGTCACACACCTGGCTTAACAACATCATCTTGTGAAAATTGCTCAAAAAATTAATAAATCACAATGTGCCAGAGAGCTCACATCTGTGTCTTTATATAAATGCTCTTAACATATCAAAAAATCATCATTTTCCAGATAAATTCATATCATTACCAAGAAGCCAATCAGATTCTTCATTACA